TTTAATGCAATATATTGAAGGATTAACATTCAGATTGGTCTAGTCTGTGAGGAGTGGTATTTGTCATTTTAGGCAAAACAAAAGAGTATGATAGGAAGCAGGTTTCAGCACATATGCTCATCTACACCTTTTATACCTCCAGATTTTGTTAATCCAATGCTCTCTTGACTGACTTCTCAACTTCTGAATCTTAAGACCATTCAAAACTCTACCGTCCGGCAACACCTGAACTGTGAAATTTTTTTCTTCCGTGTTCCTTTTCCCTTTCTATCTCTAATCTGCTGAGATTTCTGCACTCTCTCAATTCTGGCCTCTTGTATATTGTCCAATTTCTATCACCTCTACCATTGACAGCTGCAGAATCCACCCTACACTCTTAGCTTCCTTTTTTTCTCTTTTCCTATGTACTTGTTGAAACTTATCTCTTAATCAAGCTTCTTGTTGTCGTTTGTATTACCTCCCTATGTGGTATGCTGTCAAATTTTATTTGAGAATGCTTCTGTGAAGTATCTTGGGACGGTCTACCATGTTAACAGCATAAGTTAAATACAAGTGGCCACTCTGGTGTTAAGTAGGGATTATTTCCAGAGAAATGTAATTACAAGTCATCAGGTATACCTTAGTTATGGGACAGTGAATGGTGAATAGGTAGCTCCACCAGCAGGTGGTGCCATAGCACCAGTACAGATGTCACATCACTTTCCAAATGTTTCTTGCTGTTTGCTTTGTGAGGTTTTATGACATTTTACTTTCTTCCAGCATTTTTATTATGAAAACTGGCCCACACTTAAAGTTCAGAGTGCTCATAATCTAACAGAGGTTCCTAGAAGTTGATTTTGAAAGGAGATTTTCCTCCAAAGCCGTATAGGCTCATGAAGGCTGAAAAATTAGCAGACGTTCCAGTCACTTGATCCTTCGGATTTACCACTTCCATTAAAGTCATGATTTCATTATAAATGAAAGCTGATTTTATTGATGGAGTACTGAGGGAGTAATCCTTACCTAAAGATCAAGTAGATGATCCATCTCAGCCTCTTCCAAAGTCCTAGCATCACAGATGCCAATCTGCAGCTAATTCAATTCATCCAATGTGAAATCAAGAAATGGTTGAAGGCACTGGATTCTGCAAAGACTATGGGCCCTGACAACATTCTGGCAATAATATTGAAGACTTGTGCTCCAGAACTTGCTGTACCTCTAACCAAGCTGTTCCAGAATAAATACAATACAGGCAGTCCCTTGGTTACAAACAGGGGCCATTCTTGAGTCTGCTTGAACGTTGGATCACAACGCAGGAGAAATAAAACAGCTGTTCTTAAGTGCAAGGAAACGTTCATATGTCGGACCTTTAAAATTAGCATTAATACACCCCATACAGGATCGCATTCATAAATAAAAGCATTTGTAAGTCGAACATTCATAGATCAGGGCCCCCATGTACTGGCATCTATCCGACAGTGTGGAAAATTGCCCAGGTATGTCCTGTACAATAAAAACAGGGCAAATCCAACCTGGCCAGTTACCACGCCATCAGTCTACTCTCGATCATCAGTAAAGTGATGGAAGGTGTCATCAATAGTGCTATCAAGCAGCACTTGCTCAGCAATAACCTGCTCAGAGATGCCCAGTTTAGGTTCTGCTAGGGCCACTCAGCTCCTGACCTCATTACAGCCTTCATTCAAACATGGACAAACAGCTGAATTCCAGAGATGTGGTGAGAAGGACAGCCCTTGACATCAAGGAGCCCTAACGAAACTGGAATCAATGGGTATCAAGGGGGAAACTCTCCACTGGTTTAAGTCATACCTGTAAATAGGGAAATGCTAGTGATTGTTTGGACGTCAGTCATCTCAGCTCCAGGACATCTCTGCAAGAGTTCCTCAGGGTAGTGTCCTTGGCCCAACCATCTGCAGCTTCTTCATCAATGACATTCCTTCCACCATAGACTCAGAAGGGGGTATGTTTGCCAATGAAGGCACAATGTTTAGCACAATTTGTGACTCCTGAGATACTGAAGCAGTCTATGTCCAAATGTAGCAATATCTGGAAACTAACATTCATGCCACACAAATGCCAGGCATTGATCATCGTCAATCTTTCAATGGCATTACCATCATTGAATCTCCAACCATCAACATCGTGGGAGAATATTCCCCACTTGCCTGGATGAGTGCAGTTCCAACAACACTCAAGAAGTTTAACACCATCCAGGACAAAGTAGTCCACTTGATTGGCACTACATCCACAACAATCCACCCTCTCCATCACTGACGCTGAGTAGCAGCAGTGTGTACTATCTACAATGTGCACTGCAGAAATTCACCAAGACTCCTTCAACAACACCTTCCAAATCCATGACCACTTCCATCTAGAAGGACAAGGGCAGCAGATACATGGGAACACCACCACCTGCAAATTCCCCTCCAGGCCACTCACCAGCCTGACTGGGAAATACATCACTGCTCCTTCAGTGTCACTTGGTCAAAAACCCGGAATTCACTCTTTAAAGGCACAATGGGTCTCCTTACAGCAGGTGGACTGCAGCAGTTCAAAATGGCAGCTCATCACCACCTTCTCAAGGGCAGCTAGGGACAGGCAATAAATGCTGGCTTTGCCAGCGATGCCCATGTTTCATGGGTTAATTTTTGGAGGTGTGAGGAGTCTCTCCCAGGTTTCCTCCTATTGGAAAGGCCACTGAATGATGAGTCAGTCAGGCAATTTAGCGTGCCACTCGTGGACCAAGCATGGGATCAGGACCTCTAGGAAAGGATGGCTATCTCACTGAGAGATGCTGAGTAGACTCTTCTGCTCAGCAACGCCATTGAAGAGGTGATGGAGGAAAGACATCTGACCGAGGGCCAGGATCACAGCAATCGAGGTCAGAGGTAAGGGACAGTGGAAACATTCCATGGGATGTGGGGCAGTCAACAGCAAGGGCAGGGGGTGACTTTTAGCACCTCCTTCTACTCCTCACCAATCAGGTCTGAGTGCCGCTGTTTCAGGGACCCCGCCAGGAGACCACAAGCAGTCTGCACAGATTTGCATGCCATGCTCCCTGCATGACAATACACCCTTCTATTGTTTAATACCCTCAGCAGTGGGGCTTCAATTGGCAATGGTGTGGGAAGTCCATCCAAGCAATGTATTCAAGGCTGGTAGATGATGCGTCCTTACCAGTCACACCATTGCCACCAAACTCTCCTGGAGAGAGCGTAACTTACCATCCATGGTGGAACGAGCCATCCAGTAATACTCTCACCTGATTTCAAGGGATTGTAACTCAGGCAGGGTGTAATGTTATTGCACAGGTTAAAAGTGTTCCTGCTGGGAGCCCACATTTAAACTACATGTCCCATTGCTGGATTCCTCACTGTCACACCCAGCATTTATAAGATGGTTTGAGTGCTCAAATCAGCTTGTGGATTTTTTTATGCTGCAAAGTTCTGCCTGGGGTCAGCATTATTCTCCCTTTTCCAAGTGCTTTGTGCATTTTCAACCTTCCCTCCCAAAGACCTGGATGAAAGTAAACAGTCTATTTTATTACTCTAAGGAGCTTCAGTACTTCAGCTGCATTGTGTGTGCTTGCATTGCTTTCAAAAGTACACCATGGTTTTAGTCATGAAAGGTACGATATCAATGCAAGTTCATTTTTTGTCTAAAGCTTTGAGAATGTGTACCAGACGAAATGTTGCTCCTTTAACCTATTACACACTCAGAGAGTCTTAAGTGTTGTACAGCACTGAAACAGATCCTTCAGTCCAATTCATCCATACCAACCAGATATCCCAAACTGATCTAGTCCCATTTGCCAGCATTTAGCCCACATCCCTCTGAACCCTTCCTATTCATATACCCATCCAGATGCCTTCTAAATATTGTAATTGTACCCACCTCCACCACTTCCTCTGGCAGCTCATTTCATACACAACTCTCTCTGTGAAAAAGTTGCCCCTTAGCTCCCTTTTAAATCTTTCCCCTCTCACTTTAAACATTTGCCCTCTAGTTTTATACTTCCATACCCTGGGGAAAAGACCTTGGCTATTCATCCTATCCATGCCCCTCATGATTTTATAAACTTCTCTGTGTTTCAAGGGGTGACCTCCTACCAAAATGCACCATTTCACACTTAGAAAATCACGAGCCACAACCTTCACTATTCAAAGCTGCAGACAACAAATGTGTAAAAGTGTCTCCTCCACAGCAACTCTACTCCCTGTGTGTCATGTAGCACAACGCTTATCATGCATACCCCTACCTCCATCACTGCACAATGAGCAGCCAGGTCTTCAGCTGCCAATGCTGCAAGCACCTCAAATCTCCTTTGAGACACTCCGTAAAACCTCAGTGATAGCAAGAACTGCAGATGCTGCAGTCTGAGTCAACACAGTGCGGAGCTGGAGGAACACAGCAGGTCAGACAGCATCAGAGGAACAGTCCCGATGAAGGGTCCCGACCCGAAACGTCGACTCTCCTATTCCTCTGAAACTGCCTGACCTGCTGTGTTCCTCCAGCTCCACACTGTGTTGACTCCTTGAAAACTGCCTTGTTCTTTGAACCTTGGGTTATCATCTTATACAGAAACATAGGAATTAGGAGCGGGAGAAGGCAATTCAGCCCTTCAAGTCCATTCTGTCATTTAACATGAAATCGTTGATTGATTCTGCCTCCAGTGCACTCTCGGGCAGTGAATCCCACAGATACACAACCCTCTGAGAAAAGTAGTTTCTCCTCATCTCAGCTTATGGATCAGTGTTAAATCTTGTGTGATAACTAACCCACGAAGGAACGTTTTACGCGGCTAAAGGCCCAGTATAAATGTCAGCGTTGTCTATAAACTAACTGGTCACTTACACCCCAGCCACTGCTGCAGCATTTCAATGACCTGACAGTGGATAAACCATTGGCTCAGCCAGGGCTGTAGGTGTCGCTGTGGCTTAGCCAGGGCATCGGGGGAGCCACACAGTCGACAATCTTGCCACCACCCACGGCTCTCCTTGTTTTGCCGAGGTTATATATATCGGGCGTTGTGCATTTCCCCTTGTTCTTGTAGTTAAGATGGCGATGCTGAGCTCATGCAGGATCCTATCCACAGCCACGCACCACCCGGGCTTGGCTGCGCTCTCCGCCCGAGCTAGGTAGCTTTGTATGTTTTAGAGGGAGCGTGTGTGTGTGTTTGTTTGTGTCTGTGTGAAGGGAGTGGGCGGGGGGGATGATGTGTGTGGAGTGGGAGCCGACCGCGCACGTTTTTAAAAATCTACCGTTTGGAATGGGCAAGGAGACCCCCTTCCACCACCACGACCTCGTCGGGCCTCACCGCCGCCGCGCCCCGTTATGAAGTAAGAGAGTCGGGTTTGTGACACCTGAGGTGATGCGGGGGGAGGGGATGGCTGTTCCTCTCTCTCCTCCTAGGCCTCCCGCCGACACCACGTGACCGCTCGCCTCTGGCGGGCGGGGAGTGCTGCTCGGTTTGGCTGGGCCGCGCGCGCAGCTCCGCCCCTCACCGCTGTCGTGGCCTCCGATTGGCCCCGGATGACGTCCGAGTGTCCCTGGCTCCGCCCCGTGTCCTTGAGGGGAGTGAGATAAAGGGCGTGGGAAGGACAGTCCCGCTATCCCAATGGGGCCACGTGGCTTTGTGGAACGAAGAGGGTGGGCATGTGCAGTGTAAATGATCAGTAGGTTTGCTGGTGTGCTCCCATATAGAGTGTGAGAGGTCCTATCCTGTGCTGACAGGGTTGCTGTGTGTGTGTGTGTGTGTGTGTCTTTCTCTCTCTCCCCCTCAGTGTCACCTCTTTAATCCAGGAGCTTGTGGTTGAAGGGCTATTCTTGAGTACGAGTGAGAGGCTTCTTGATAAAGGCATTGGAAAGAATGAAGGGGTTTGATACGCCAAGGCAATGGGGAGTCTTGAAATATCCTGTTCTGGGTCCTGGAAATTTCAACATGTCAGAATTAGGCCATGGCCAGGTGATTTGCAGAAGGTGGGTGGGAGTCCAGTGTTACACTAAAGTTCTACACTTTACATCCAGCTTCTAGTTCCACTCTGGACTTAAATCCTGTCATATCTAGCTTTAATTTTAAAGTAGCCCTTCAATGTGAATCTTATAATATCCTTCAATGGAAAATTGAAGCCCGCCCTCCTCCCATTCAGTGAGATCTGAGCTGATCCACATGTTGATTCCATTTATGCTCCTTATAACTTGTGACTGTTAATCAGCCTCAGACTTAAAAGTTTTAACTGCACCACCCTCCACCTATTTGAAGTTGTACCTTTTTGATTTTTGACAGTTGTATGAAAAGGGCTTTATGATCTTACTCCTGAATTCTTTAGCTTCAACTTGAAGATTATGACTCTTTCTCCCCGCCCCCCTTTGTATAGTTATCACTAACAGAGGAAATGGTCCCCTGGTCCCTAGCCTTCTGGATTGGGTGTTGGTGTTGGCCTTGGCCCAGTGGCAACATTCTTCATGCCAATCAAGAGGTTGCGTTATGTACATCTTTCACAAAAATCAAGATGAGCCCTGCAATGTAACACTGAAGTTGTGCTCTGTTTTGAATGAGACTTCAAAATGAAGCCAGGCTTGCGCTCAAGTGGACATAAATCCGATGACACTATTCAAAGAAAAGCAGTGGGTTTGATACAGCATAAGAGATCTTCTCACTGTGTCCTGCAAACACTCCCAGTTCAGATACAGTGCAGGGTTAGATGCAAAGTAAAACTTCAACACTGTCTCATCAAATACAGCTGGGACAGGAACAATATAGTGTTAGAACAGAATAAAGCCTCATGTACTCTTAAACTGAAAGTAAAGCTCACTGTAGGCTGTCCCCATCAAGCACTCCCTGGACAAGAATGGCATGGAGCATGCTGCCAATTGCTCTACCCCCAACTCCTGCACTCTGGGAGAATTTCCAAAACTCTAATTGGTTCATGGTCTGTACAGCCTGCGGGAAAGATTTTCATGTTTTCAGCCTGGCATCCCATCTGAATCAATTCCTTGGTTGAAGGCTCCATTTTGGGTTTTGTTATTAGAATTGTGGAGAGTTTGTCTCCTCAGTTTGCTCCATTCATTTTAACAGGGTGTTTGTTGGTTAAAAGATGTATTTGAACTGTGTAATACTTCTTTCTATCGTAATATTTTCACAAGCTGTGTAACAGATCTAAGGATTCAGGTACATAATTCTTTGAAATTTGTCTCACAGGTAGATAGGGTGGTAGAGTGTTTAGCACACTTGCCTTCATTGCTCTGAGTGTAGGAGTTGAGATGTCATGTTAAGGATGTACAGGATGTTTAGAAGGCCTCTTATCGAGTACTTTGTACAGTTCTGGTGGTTCTGCTATAGGAAGTCTATTATTAAATTGGAGAGGGTTCAGAAAAGATTTATCAGGATGTTGCTGGAAATAGAGGGTTTGAATTAAAAAGATAGGCTGAATTTTTTTTCACTGGGAGTGTAGGAGGTTGAGGGGTGACATTATAGCAGCTTATATAGTCATGAGGGGTATAGATGAGGTGAATAGCAAGGGTCTTTTCCCGAGGGTGGGGGAAGTTCAAAAGTGGGGGCATATTTTTAAGATGAGAGGAGAAAGTTTTAAAAAGGTGAGGGGCAACTTTTTAACCGAGTAGTTCGTATGTCAAATGAACTGCTAGAGGAAATGCTACTGGAGTACAGTTACAACCTTTAAAAGATATTTGGGTAAATGCATGAATAGGAATGGTTTAGAGGGAAATGGGCCAAACACATGCAAGTGGGACTAGTTTAGTTTGGAACATGGTTGGCATGGACTAGTTGGACTGAAGGGTCTGTTTCCGTGCTGTATGACTCTAAAAATTTAGTCGTTTTTGTTTGAAATATGTCCCTGATAGCTGTCGAATTATGTAGATCCCTCTGTGTTCTCGAAGTCACTTTAATGTATTTTTCTTGGTTCAACTGGTGTTAAGGGCTCCCTAGTTCATATCCTCTGTGTCAACTGGTGCCCTTGAAAGCATAGCACTTGAAGCGCATATGAAAAGGGTTAATGCCCATTCCGCCAGGACTAACTGAGAGGATTAATGCCCAGTCCCTCAACATCAGATGCCATTTCTGACAGTTTTGTAAATCATTGTCCTTTGCTGAGGGTGCCACAACCCAGGAGGTCAGCCTTCGGTACATCCACCCCAATCCACCAACCCCCACCCCCCAAAAAAAACCTAGCTCAGCTCGGACTCTTATGCCAGGAGCTCTCTTCACTGATGATGCCACGGTGTTTACCTTGTGGTATTAACGTAATTAGGAATTAGCTTTATTGTCACATGTACTCACATGAGTACAGTGAAAAATTTACAAGTTGCCACTTAGTGCCAGCTTAGGCACAGAATATTGGTATAAAGCAGAAAAATAAAGAAAACAAAGATTTAAAAGTTAAATATTACAGTCCTTCTTACTAAAAGGTTAAAAGAAAACAAAGAAACACAGTTAACACAGTGTGGAGCTGGAGGAACACAGCAGGCCAGGCAGCATCAGAGGAGCAGGAAAGCTGACATTTCGGGTCGGGACCCTTCTTTAG